TTGCTTTTCATCATGTGTGTGTAAATGCGAGTGTTGGAAAACAGCTAATATTGTGAAAAAGAACCTTTTGGTGACGTACGATTTCTAATATTGCAACCATTGAATGCTTTCTTAAATGCTGAAAAAAGAGAGTAATTAGAGCAACTAACATTGTGTTATGCACCGAAATGATCAAATAGCAGTGGATGTGCCTAAAATGATTTGAGCTAAATTGAGTACTACCTCCTATTTTAAATAAATGGCGTTTGGGATGTTGCACATTTATTAAAAATATACTTTTTTTTGTCAATAATAACATTATTTAATGAAGATAGAAATGAATGTTTTGAGAAAAAGTGAAGAGAGAATATGAAAATACGTAAGGTATTTATTAGTTAAATGAGAGTAACAATAGAAAAATATGTACAAAAGATCCAAAACGACATTTATTTAGTTAATAGTTGATAAAACTAGAATGACTTGGGTCTCTTCCAGCTTAACCAGTGGTCTCGTGTTCGAGCCCTGGGAATGCAGCAGTGTTAAAAATCTTGAGGGAGAGCTTTGCCGCCCTTGTGGTCCTACCCGACTCGATTTCGGATTAGTCGGTTTCCCTGTGGATCCGGAAACCGGAAGGTCCTTGTACCAAAAAAAAAAAAAAAATAGGAAGGAGTACTATTTCACTATTATTACCTAAGCCATTTAAATAAATTTCAAAATACTTGGAGCTAAATTGTAACTTTTGTAGGCAATTAAAAAAATTTTGGTAAACACCAAAAGCTAGCTTAGAGCATCCACAATATTTTGTATCAATTCATTAAAAATATTCAGGACAAGTAGGACACAAACTCAGTGTATAAAAATATATACTCCAATGTACATGCAAGTATACTGAGTCATGTTGATGTAGCAATAAGAAAAAAAGACTCGGTCTATCCATAACTCTAATTTAAACCAAAACAAAAACTTAGTAAATTTGCATCGTAGATAATTTTGTTATTTTTATGTATTTTTGTTCACGTCATCCTAAACTTGGATATATTTACATGATACATAAGCAAAACTAGACTCGAAACATTTTAGATGCTCTTATAGCTTATTTAGTTATCTTATAAGCTTTTTGTATGCAAGCAAATTTTGATTGATAAGACGAGCTTCTTACAAAAATTCGAGCTTATATCATAAGCTGCCTTGAGTAGTTTTTTAAACAAACCTGCGAACAACTTTATTTCAGCTGACTTATCAAACACTTTTATCATATCAGCCAGTTTTTTAGCTATCGGCTATAGACCCATAAACTATAAGCTTGAAATTAACTTATAAACTAACAACTAACATTTAACAAACATAGTATAATAGGTTTTGGTACAGTTCACTCGTCTGATTCTTTTTCTTTTTATCTAAACAACTAAGCATTATATTAAAAGAAAATCAAGATAACAATAATGGACAAGACAAAGCTAAGCAGAAACAAAACAACAAACAGTGGTCATCACAAGGGAAAGAGCTCAAGAGGAAACATTGTAAAGAAGACAAACTGTCATTTGCAAAGTTCAAATGGAATAAGATTGCGGTACATGCGATAGCGCCATGTAACAAAAATTTGCCCGCTAAACCCTTTCTTTCAATAGTCAAAATCTCCATTTATAAAATAGAAAATAAAATTGACAATCAAACGAGCATTCAACAGCACGCTAAGTAAAGAACACCCATATTTTTTATTTTTCACTTTTTTTCAGCCAGAGGTCAATAATAATTTCTTACCAAATCTCGCAAGCACACACACAAACTCCCATGAGAAAATATTAATTTAGACAGCCCACAAAATGCATATCTCAGTACAAACATATCAAAGCTGCTCAAAATAGCCAAATCACAGCTCAAGTACAGTCATAACCATGTATAGAATCAGATACATAACTTCAGCTAACTAAATGGATCAGAAAGCGTCTCATAGCTCAGTTAAGCTCAATTAAAAGCACGCTAAGCTCGTAGTAGCTCACAATAGCGCACACTTCTCCATTTTACGTCGAACATGTTTTACCAATTACATAAAATGCACAAAACCCAAAACAGTAGCAGCTGAACACAGTCACAGAAAATGCGGCGGGTAATCATTTTCAGATAAATGTGCTTTTTCTCATTTTCAGAAAATGCGGCGGGTAATCATATATTCATATAGCACTTGGTTCACGCCTTTTTCAACTGTGCTTTTCTCTCGTTTTCGTTGTTTTCTTATTCTGTTTGTCGTTTTCTATTGAAGATGTTTTCTCCTTCACAGTGAATCTCTCGTTCTCAGGCTTTTCACCTTCTTGCTCTCCACTTTTCCTCTTTTTAGAGGTACTGCAGCATTATTTGTAATTTCAAGCAATGGTTAAATTCAATATGTTGTATAAATAACACAAAATGAAAATGCAACAGCATATGATTGATTAAGGTTCAGGGACAACCTATCAGCTTGAGACCATTTATCCACATTTTTATCCAACCACATCTCCCATTAAAATGTACCAAAAAAGATGAAACAAAAATAAAAGAAACTAAGAGGGTCAATCTATCGCACCTCTTTAAGACTCCATGTCATCATCCTCATCATCACAAGCCTCGGTTGCAGCTATTTCCGAATCCAATTTGTTCATCAACTGCCCACTCACATGTTTAGCAACAGATATCATGTCCAGTATGACACTTGGGTCGAGGCTCGCACCTCCTCTTTTCGTCAGCCCACATATCTGTCCTTTCCTATTTATAGAGACCGAGATAGCCCAACTCATTTGGGATTCCTCCTCTGTAGTTGCATCAACAATGTAATGCCTCCCAACCTACAATATGTAATAGTTGATTACACATGTAAAAGTTACATGGAAAAGAAAATATATATATATATATATGTTTTTTTTTTTTGTTTTCACGCGCCTTTTCTTTTCAGCCGTTTTTTCGACCATCTCGAAATTGATTTTTCATCATCAAAGTTCGTAAAATACCTTAAATAATGGTTTACTGTGGTAAGCGAATTTGATTTTGAGCATTTTTAACTATTATTTACGAGTTTCTTCGTTATATATATATGTATGTATGTATGTAAAAGAAATTTGGGGAGGGGGAATGTCTTGCCTTGGTTAAAGTAATTAAAATAGGAACCCCAGATGTGTCAAATTGTAGAAATTCCTCGTCACTCACATCAACTTCCGGCTGCTCATCAGAAGGGGCATTAGCAGCAACTTGGACTTTTGGAATAGCTGTATTGCTTAGGGCTGCCTACAAAAAGGAAACAATAAAAAATATTAATAAAAAAAGAAACAGACCTAATGGGAATATTTCCTGCCCAAACAGAATGCTGATGTCGATACTTATAAAAATTTGAGATATATACATAATACATGTAAAAAGCAGTATATGTCGATAATCTCGTGAATTCGGTAAATGCAAACATAAGAAGTAAAACACAATACACCTTGATGGCTGCTCCGAGGGCATCGAGTAAATTACCATCTGAGCTAACAACGAGACCATCTATATACAGATCCCAACAGATCTTTCCTTCAACAATGGATAGAGATGAGCGATCAATCCCAGCTCCTGCAAGCAAAAAATCACATACAGCAAACATACTGGCATCATGGAACATAATGAGAAGACTAAAAGTTAGAATCATATAAATGGATGGATATTTTTTTATATAAATATATAAAGTGTTTAATTTTTATTTTTAATTTGTGTTAGTAAAAATGTGCAACTTAACTAAGCATCAATTTGTTTTGCACTCATACCTTCTCCACTTTTACCTCCCAAAAGACACTTTTGAAGTGCGGATGAGAGCTCAGTAGCTAATTCCTCACCCCCTCTGCCCTGTGATTGAAGGATCAAGGGAACTTGTGACCAAAAAATAAAATAAAATGGATAACAATTTAGATAATTGGAATTCATTTTCGATGAAAAACAGGTAGGAGATATTCGGTAGAGCACCGAAATGTTGTCGGGAAAATGAAACATATTTCAAGATTCAAGTAAGTCAACAAAGATTGTTCATTTTTGGCTTATTAGTAAATACTTTATATCTAAGTAAAACAGTAAGGTGATACAGATAATAAAGCGAACATGACTAAGAACTAGCTATCTGGTTCATGTTCTTCAGCTCAGCGAAAAAACCATCTCCCTACCCGTATCCTTCAAGATTTTTTT